ATCAGACCAGACTTCTAGGAAGAAAATGCCCCTGGTTGTGGTGGGAGTTTGTCCCATTACAGGGGCAAACCTTAAAACTGCACCCTAAAAAGGCTTATGTGTGAGCACAGCTTTACTCAAGCAAGCAGTCTTGATGTCAGGCTATTTGCATAAGTGAAGTTGCACCTGTGCTTACACTGTATTGACACTGATGATCAACCTGATCCTGTGTCAATAAAAATCCATGCCATATCTCTCACTGACTTGTCAAGGTAGAGGACCATGATCATAACATGTAATGGTGTTATAATACTGCCTTCATACAGTGATTCCACTGCTGATGCAGAGAAATGTAGGGCTCCCCTACAGGTTTTTAGCATATTAAAAAAGTATCTTGCTGTTATGACAGTAATGTTTACACAGTGTCAATTTCCAACACTCTTAGAACGATGATAACTTTCTCAATTGGATATCCTATCTTATACACCACAACAGTAAACAAAACAAACAAACAAAGAATATCAAACATAATATACTTAATTCATTGCTGCTCCTGGTATTATATACATGTATAATAACTATCTTTTCTCAAATAGAAAACAGAGCAAGGCATCTTCCTCATCTTATGTATGTCTTATACTAGCTTGTATGCAATGCAAACCTAATCTACAGATTTTTACAGATAGTACAATGTGACTGCCAGAGGATCCTAATTAATATCTTCATAAGAGAAGGTAAAACATAATCAGAAGATCAAGCAATTTAAATATATAAGTCTATAAACAGACTTTAAAGTGGTGTAACTTGGAAGCAGCTACCATCAACAATCCCTATGTGAAAAAAAAAAAAAAAGTCTGTAATTCCATCACTGGAAAAGACTCCCTATAACTAGCATGTGAAATAATTTTTTAGCCCATGTTAACATAACATACAAGCGACGGAAGCTACACAATAATCTCAGCCTTGCTCTCACTAAGATAAGCCCTGCTGAGGCTGGAAGAGGCCAAAAGTCCTTATATATTATTTTCTTAATAAATAGCATGGATTTGACACAAGTAACTAGATCAAATCCCCATCAAGCTCCTTTAAAGCCAATGCTGCCAATCTGAATGGGAAAAAGAATGAGCTATTGCGTAGGTACTTAGTCAAGAACACACTCTCAGCCTTGTTAGATATTCATTGCAATCACAACACAGCAGCATTGTCACCTGTATGTTTGCATTTTTTAATTTTATACATGTATATGAAATTTCCTCATACAGCTCATAAGTGTATTTTGAAAAAATCATTTAAATATATGTATTTATAACTATATTTACGTAACTAAACATAACTGCATACATACACACAAACTGCATGCATAAATATATACCAAATTTTATGCACATTTGTGCATATATATGTATGTGCATGTGTGTCTAAACATACACACGTGTAAACTTTGCTTCTAACTAGCAGTAGGAAAAACAAGGACTTACAGCCACCCTCATGTATATACAGATTTCAATTTAACTCATCAATCTATGCGATTCTCTCCTTGGGAACTTGGAAATCAACAACTACTTTCTCAAAAGATAGAAATCAGACATCAAAAGGTAACAAAATAATGGTCCCACCAGCCAGTCCCAAAGCAAACAGGTAGTTAACTTCAAAAGTTTCAGCTATCCTTGATCATCTCTAAACCATTCAGTCAATGAAAATTAATGTACTCAACACAAGCTTTGTTACATGAGAAACTTTTTCTCATTTAACAACGAGAAGCTTTGTTACATTGAAAAGTCAGCACATTCACAGTCTCAGTGGGGTCACACAGAACCAACGATTTCCTCATTCCTTTCCTGTGCCTTTTAAAATCCCATTAATGGGAAATGCAAGGTACTACACAAGCCACGACATCATCACAGCATTACCTTAAGATTATAACGAACAGGCTATTCACATACTAATCTACCTGGCTTAACTATGACTAAATAATGAAAAGAAATCTTATCTAGCAAAAGGACATAGATTTTCCCCTGGCTTTTGTGAACACAAATGGAAAAAATAATGAGACAGAAAGAAAACTTGGCGTGAGGACACACAGGGAATGCACTGGAGTATTATGGTGGAGGACTAAAAAGGCAAAAAACACTTTAAACACAGCATAAAATATAGCATCATACACAATAAGTTTAAGCTGAGAGATGTCAGAAGGATTGCGAACAAAACAAGAAGAATTTCACTGTAAAAGAGCAGAAATGCTGAGCATGAAAACAGATTTGCTTCCCTGTGGGCAGGGTAAACAAAGAGCTTCCCCAGTGAAATGCCATGAATGCATTTAGGCTGTATGTTGTTTTTACACCCTCTACTGCTACAGTGATTGTCCAGCTAGAAACCCCTGTGTTGCTGGGTCTGTGTAAAAAGCTCTGACACCATTACTGTAGCTCATTGCCTGGCCAACAGCAAGAGAGCACAATTCTCAGAAGTACTCACAGAGCAGCTGTGATGCTGATGAAGAAACAGTTTCATCCTGGAAGATTTAGGAATCTATGAACAGCATTATCAGATAAACACCAGACCTACTCCCAAGGTAGACTGAAAACTGAAAGCTGAAGGAAGACAGAAAAATAGAACTAACATTTTCGTTCCCTCTGCTTTCACTCCTTCTTCCCACCTTATATCAACAATCTTTACCACATCAAAAGGCCCTCTGCCTTATCTCCTCTCACTTTTTCATCCTACCAAATGTCTGCCCACACCTTAGGGAAAGAAAATTCAAACTGCATCTCTTGTGAACACCATAGGGAAAGTTAAAGGAACAAAACAAAATGAGAGAAAGAAGTGGAGGGGACAGCAAGACGGAGAGGGGGAAAGGGACAGAAAACTGACTGGTGGGATAGAGATTTGCTGTAATGTAATCTGAACATTAGAAAACTAGACTAAAGGACAAATGTCCACAGAAGAATGTCAATTCAGCAGACAGCATTTAAGCTGTAATGATACCAGAACTAAACTAAATAAGATACAACATGCAGTTTACAAGGTGATGTAAAATTGAAGTACAAAATTAAAACTGTGCAGGAGAATGACCAGTATAATGCAAACAAAAAAACATACTGCAAAAAAAGCTTTACAAAAGCAATTTCCACCAAAGTCTTAAGGTACTCCTAGCTTTGAATCTCCATTTTCAGCACCACTATTTCTCACTGCACTTCCTGATCAAGACATTTCTGTTCTTACCTCAAGACTCTGAAGCTGGAAGAAGTTTCTCATAAAAAAAAAAAAAAATCACGGTGAACTAGATATTTTACTTAATACACAGTTCCGAATGCAGAGTAATGCAGGCCCTATCCAGGAGCACTCTACAACTCACAAGATCAGTTTTGTTTACTAATGGCACATCCTTCAACCTGAGAGCTAAAGCTTGGCCATCTTGTCTGGCAATGCATCTATTTTTGCCATTATTAAATAACAGTGTGCCTCTCCAAATACGTGTTTGTAGCTTCATTAACAGTACTCAAGCTATGACTGGTTTAGTCAACACTACAGCTAAATAAAACACCTTCACTTACATTTTGAAATAACCTACTCCACACACATAATCCCTGGTGCAGAACAACAGCAGCATTACTCCAGTTCAGAGTGAGCTCCCTCCTAACATGGGGAAATACATGCAAATACATCCACTCCCTTCCTCCATCAAAACTGTCCATTGCTTTCTTTGCTTTCTCTGGCATGGCGGTCCTGCAAATGCAACTCTGAGATGACTTCAAATGACCTTTTTTGGCTCCTCAGCCAACAATAATGCAGCTCAAGAGGGAGGCAGCAAGCTGATTCTCTCCTAGAGTGACCAGATGTTGCACTGCTGGCAGAAATGTCATTATTTCCAGAAAGCCAGTATACTTTACATCTGCATGCCCCAAGCAAGTACCACTGTTGGGGGAGCAAATGCCCCAGAGACATCTCTGACACAGCATGCTTTTAGAAGCCATCAGCCAAAGTGACCAAGTCCAGACACAGAAGCTTAACACAGGCCACGATCAGAGAATTTGTTCTGGTTCAATACAGAAAGAGAAGGAAGGGGTTAAAAAATTATCAGTTGGCTGGCTTCTGGTTTTTCTTCCAGTAAATCCCAGGGAGTTCACAGCCAGTGATTCTGTTCACCCTACGATGGTCACATCCTGAAGGTCAAGCAAGTCATTTCAGCACAGGATGTTCAGCATCCCTATTTCTCCTGGCAGCTACTGCTGGCAGAAACACTATTACTATGACCAAAGCCAGGCAGCTCCCACAAATGGTGATTGGGGCGGTTGTCAGCACACATGCCGTTAATCCACTGGGAAGGCAAACACACCAGGGCCAGGCCATTTTGAGCCACACTGTAGTGAGTATAGTGTCCATGATGGGTCTCCCCAGACCCATGATGGGTCTCTGCAGCCAGAGACAGGACACTGTCATGGGCTGACAAAGACCTCAACATCCAGAGACTGAAAAGAGGAGGAGGAGAAAAAGGAGAAGAAGAAAGGCCTCGCTGTGGGTGACGGCGCCACATACATGCCAAAGCCTTCAGGCCCTGACTGCTACAGCAAGGCCTGGCCCAGGCACAGCCACCCTGCAGTGGTGCCCAGGCCATATGCCATGGTGGTGGCAGTCCCCCTAATAAAACCAACACAGAGACCAAACCACCCCAAGGGAGGGTCCAGCTACCCCAGGGCTCAGCAGGGGGTCGCCCTACTAAGCTGGGGATGCTGGTGAGCCAGCAGGCCAGCAGGGCAGGGGTTCCAGCCAGGACAAAACACACAGGCGCAGAGAGCCAGACTCTGTTGGAGTATTTTATTTCAAAGCTGTGGGCTGCTGGGTGGTGAGTTTTCCGTTTCCTCTCTCAACACAACTAAATGAGACTACAGCACAGAGCCTGGCCATTCTCTATCCATCATAGGGGCAGCACCGCAGGCCCCGGCTGTGCCAGGCTGTCCACTGGCAGTGGGCTCCTCGGGCACTGCACCGAGGTGGCCCATGTCCTGTCTGTGAGGTGGTGTGGACAGCACACCAGAGAGACAGAGAGGGAGCTACCATCCGGCTGACTAGCCGGGAGAAACAGAGCACAGAAGGAGCTGGGCAAGGAAGAAGAGGCATTTCTCTGAAGGAGAGAAAGAGAGAATGCGAGGTAGTTACACTTAAAAACAGAGAGAGAGCCCATAGCTCAAAGTCTGGGTGGGAGGTTTGCTGGTCAGGAGGGCACTGGGGGCAAGGGGGCAGGAGGGGAGGTTACCTTCAGCCTCGATGGAGGAGAGGAGGGCGGCTGCACACAGAGCAGCGACTGCTGAGCAGAGCGCTGTCTTCATTTCTGCCCTTTCAGATCACAACAACATGAATGAATCTGCAGTGATGGGGGGAGAAAGGAGAAGGAAATGATATGCATGGATTAGAGGATTGTGTGGGTGTATTCATGAGACATAAAAAAGACAAACCGTGGATTTTGCTTTGTTCCCTTATCCCCAGCCCCACCCACAGGACCAGGTTGAAACCTCTAGACTTGAAAGCTGTCCAAGACGATGACAGATCTGCATGACTAACTGGAGAGTCTCGTCTCACAATAATGTGACTTTTGTTGCTGAACCCTTTCCAATCTCAGTGAGCACACACGGCTTTAACCTAATTTGATCAGGGAAGCGCAATGAAGATCCATGCCTCTGCACAGGCAGGAGCCAGGAGGGAGCTCCATGACTTCATCGCTGAGTGAGATGATAGCTAATTCAGAGGTCATTCCTGCCTTGGATCAACTAAATGTCTCTTTCAGCTGGAGATTTTATTCGGCTCCTTTTTCATAACTGTTGAAGCACTTACTTAGCTGTGTTTTAGTGGTCTCAAGGCAGTAATAAAATTTTTTTGAGGGGTTCTGCTCACAAATATGCTATTCATTTCTTGGTCTGAAATAGATTATACAGAAGTGTGTGCAACACACAGCTAAAACCTGACACATCTGTCTAGCCACGATGTTTCAACATCTGATAATTCATTTACATGTCCTGAGAGAAAATAGATTTAAAATACACTATGGAAAGCAGGCAGATGAAAGAGTCTTGCCATCACTACTGGTTGTCTAGCAAAATAGATGGGATTAGGCCAAATTAGTGGTTCCCAGTTGTAAGCATCTCTACCTTCATAACTATACGCTCTAGGTCACCTCAAATTACTCCCATATTACCCCAGTAAAACTTCCAGATTATTTCCTTGTCTAAGTAAAGGTTAATACGAACAGTCCTCATCACATATGCATATAAGTGTTCATGAAGTTTGGGGTTTTCTATTGTGGAAAGTAGGGGAGGGGTAATTTATCTGAATAAAGTCCATAAATGCATCACATATCATAATTAGGCTGGAGGAAAGAGAATTCCAAAAGCAATTAGGCAACAGATTTTATCAGGAAGGTGCCAAGAGCGAAACAAGAGAAACATGCATAAATCATTAGTCCACAGAAACAGCTGAAGGGGGAAATAATATGCTTCTGCCATCTAGAGAACTAACCAGCAAGACACATTTAGTGAGGAGATGCTATGGAGACCTAAGAATTTCTCAGTTACTGACACTGAACTTAACAGGTTTCTGCCAGGCAGCTGTATGTACTTGCCTGAGTCAAATGCCTGTGCTGCAGATAAAAATACCAAGAGCCTGAAGAAAAACTAAGCAATGGTTTCAGTCCAGTGATACTTCCAGTGGCTAAACAGAAGAGCAATATTAATGTTAACAACTCCCTGCCACTAACACAAGAAATAGCATGGTTAGCATTAAATTATTCCAAAAGCTCCAAAGTCATATCACTCTCCTGTGTGGGAAACAGGCGTCCCTGAGCACACCTACAGTGCTCTGCAGCTAGTTTAAGGATTGCCTAAAAACGTAAACTGACTTTTGTCATGGAAATGTCGTGTGGGCTTCGAGTGCCATCTTTTGATCCTTTCGAAGAGCAACAGAAATTAATCAGCTCATAAAGGCATCTAAAAGTTGACTGCTGCTGCAGGTCTGCCATTTCTGATACGTATTTTTCTGTTAAAATATAAAACATCTCAGCCACAGCATTCATTTGCCCACCTAGAAACATCTCGCAAACTTAGGAGTGCGGAAGCCTGGACGCGGCGGAGGGAAGGTCCTCTTTCTGGCTCATCAGACACATAAGCAGACTGTGTCAGGACTAAAGGTTTTCTCAATGATCTTTAGAAACCACTTCCAAACAAAAAATAATCATAACAAAAAAAAAAAAAAAAGAACCCAAACACGGTCTTTCACCAATGCGAGACCAACCTCACACTAATTCGACCTAGAAAAGCTTAGCCAAAGCATTTCCAAACCACACAGCGCACAACGCTTACCTCTTTCAAGAAGAAAAAGTAACATAAACGAAAACGACACCGGAAAAACAAACAAAAAATACAACAATCAAAAAACACTACCTATCAAAGGCATTAAAAAAACCACCTTGGAAAGAGGAGAAAGCATCACCGGCAGCTGTACACACGAGGGACGGAAGCGAGAGCTCCTGCCAAAGCCGCAGCAGTAGCGTGCCTGCAGGCTCGCCGGGCGCTGACACCAGGCTCCGCCTGGAGCTTCCTACCGGAGGGAGCCAGCGCGGCCCGGACACCGCCACCGCAGGGCTCCCCGGTGCCCTGCCGGGGCCTTGATAGGCAGCAGCCCCTCGGGGCGCTCCGCTCTGCGCCTCTCCTCCACCTCGCCGGCCACACGCCCGCAAGCCGGCGCTGGCATGCCCAGCGCGCACACGCAGAGACACACAGACGCTCTTTCCACCTTTCTGTGCCAGCCTTCAGCCCGCACTGCCAACCTCAGCCATAAAGCTTAAAGAAGGAGCTGTGTGCGTGGTGGGTACGTGCAGGAGGAGGGGGGCGGCCGAGGGGAGGGCAGGGGGTCCCCGCTCCTGCGCGGGCACAGACCTTCTGGGGCGGCTGCAGGGGGCCGGAGCCGGTGGCAGGGCAGCTCCTCTGGCGGTGCCTGCAGCAGCAGCAGCCGTCGAGCCTGGATAAAGGGAGAAGAAAGGATGAAGCTCCAGAGGCACCTTGTGGAGGGAGCAGCAAGTAGCAGCGACGGCGAAGGAGGAGGAGAAGCAGCGGCAATAGCTGAGCACAGAGGAGGCGCCTGGATTACTGTAGCTCCCGATGCGAGGGGTCTGTCTGGGAAGACTTGCCTTCTCCAAGTGGGAAGAACCTCTTCTCAATCTGCTACTTAATAGAGGGCTGTTCCCAACTCTCAATTTACCCTCGTAAGCGGTTACGAAACTGAAGGGAAGGTGGACTGCTGCCACCGGGTGATATATGCGCTGCTCTGCTCCAGCAAGGAAGGGGATCCACTTCTGGAAACTGGCGCATACCTCCGCGCATTCCTGCGGCATGAGGCGGGCGGCCGCCGCGGCAGCGCGCCCGGAGGCAGGGGCCCGGCCCGCCGCCCCCTCCCTTCTTCTCCCCCGCCTCGGCTTCCCAAAGGCGGAGGACACGGGAGGGCAGTGGAAAAACTGAGTCTCTGGGGACGGCTTCGAGGGACGGCGGCGAGGAAGGTGTCCCCGAGCGGGGGTTTCCACGCAGTCCCCGTGTTTCCCCCCTCGCTGACTCCCTCCCCGGGGCCGTTCCCCGGGACAGCCGTGCAGCTAAACGCGGGTAGCGCCGGTGCCGCGGCCGGCAGCCTTAGGGGCAAAAAGAGCATAGTCATTTTGACACGGTTCAGGTGTGTCTGGCCTTCATCCTGTGCCTCCTACCTAAGTAAAACCACCCCCTTCAGCATATAGGTGTGTCGCTTCGAGCGCCGCCGGTAGCGGGGCAGTTGTGGCTCCCCGGGACAGAGGAGACGGGGTGTAAGCCCCCCACAGCCTTCTCCTTTGCACCCTGCGGACAAACCCGCGCCCGTGGCCCCTGACTGAAACTGTATGCTTCCAAATGAAACTACACCCTCCAAAACAGGGCAGCCTGTTTGGCGAGAGGCTCTCCGAGGGTTTCCCCTCTCTTGTTCCCGGGAGCCTGCCCGCGGCGTGCGGCGCGGTCTGGCATCTGCAGCGCGCCGTGCCCGACGATGACACGGCAGGACACACGGTCCCCTGACGGTCGCTCCGCCGGAGCCAGACAGGGCTTCCAGGGGCTACGAGCCCTAAGGGTCTGCTCCCGCATCCGTGAGGAACGACGTCCCTCGTAACGCTCTCAGAACAGGCTCCTCCGGGACCCCTTCGGGCTAAAGCACGGAGTGTCGCCGTCCCCGCGGAGCGGGTCGGCACAGTCGAGATGCGGAGAGTTGGTCTGGGAGCGGGATGCAGGGGGAGCCGCTGCGGTACCTCACGGCTCCGCCGCCGGCCCATTCGCGATGCAGGGGCGCCCCCCGGCGGCAACGGAGGGCACTAGCTACCGCCCGCCCTTCTGCCGAGGTTTCCCCGGCCACTGGAGTTAGAAAGCAGTTTAGGAGGGGAAGGGGCTGCAAGGAAAACAAAACCGGGAAGGGGGCAACACCCGACAAACTCCCAGCCCCTGTTTGGAGAGGTCGGTAAGATTTCAGGGTCGTGTTGGTCCCTTGTCAGCTTCGAGCACAGACGTGAGTTGCAGAGCAATTAGGGCAAGTTTCAGCCTGGGTGGAAGGGCTAGATAGGGGGGATTGATAGTTTACCGGGGCATTTTCTCACAGGATCAGGAGATTAAGGACATGTCAAGGGGAAGACTTGTCTCTCCTAACCTGAATAAGGTTGTCTTCTTTTCTGTACCAAGCCAATCATCTGCATGAGAACCCAAACGCTGGAAAGAAAGTATCCACCAGAAGCCATGTACTGGCATTTCCAGACACTTTGGAAGTGAGTCAGCTACTCTCGGGGACATGCCACAGCTTCAGCTGTCTGGTATTGATAAAATGCACTTTCCAGGAGCAACATCTCATTCGCTGATAAACTTTCAAATACTCTTGACCTATTAACATCCTTGCCCAGCTGTTGAGTTGGATTTTCTCTTTTGGCATTTCGGCATGAGGAATTTAATTTCTTCCTATCCAGATTTTATACATAAAAGCATTATTTCTAAGAAGTAATACTATTTTAATTTTCAATTTAATTTCCTGAATGAAATCACCAAGAACACCAGTATAAATGTGGTGTGAACAATAGTTTCCGAAGAATGGACATAAGGGGTTACAATGAAATATCCTTCCATAGGAACTTAATTAATGAAAGTTAGGTATTTTTGTCACTTACGCACTGCAAAGGTGTTTGGTTTTTTTTTTGCAATGTACTATGGAGTTTTTCATCAGAAGATAACTGAGATTCTATGTCAATAGTTAAAATCAATGCAAATAACAAGGGTAAAAAAAATATGTATTATTGTATTTAAAAGATAAACCACTCAGAACAATTATTTTAAAATCTTTAAATAATTTGCTACAAATCTACAACTGTATTTATATGAGCAGAGACTTTGAAATCAATGGGTCTGTCAAGGGTGTGATAATCTCACACAGCCTCCCTCACAGACTGAGAGCTGCTGAGCGGACCATTTCCCATTCCTCTCAGCTGACCAGCTATGCTTAATTTCCCTGTGTTAATTAAGACTTAGAGCTGGCAAAAGCAAATAATGCATTGGCTCCAAGGGCAGCAGGATTTCATCCTTGTCTTTAACTCTTTGTTCTAACTATTCTAACTATATTTATCCTAAGGTCTTTTCCATGTAAAATACACCAGTGAATTGCATTTAGAGTGTGTCCTTCCATACGTCAACATAATTAAATGGGTTGTTTTCAATCAGCTCTGTTGCTATGTACATTCATAGTCTCAGTACATAGTATGTGATGCAGAAGGCATTTCTGAAATGCATAAACATTTACTAACACTCTCCTGTCTGCTTGTTTCTTAGACAAGTGTTAAACACATTAAGACCATGCACTCCAACTCTGCAATTTTCTTTGCTATCTAAGCTGAATAAATTGAAACAGTGACAAATTTAAGTACAAAAATCAAGATTTGAATTAATACTTATGCTTGTAATAATATTGGCCATTTCTGGTGTAGGTATGTGATATTACTATTGCAGATAACCTGGAATGTCTTAGAAATTTTTAGCTGGTTTGGGGTCTAGAGTAATTCAAGCTACTTTGTGTTTCTGGCATCTTTTTTTGTTTCCTCAGGCTGCATTGCCAGGACAGAATAAAATAGGACATTCTGCATTTCAGGACGGTAAACCTTGAATATCATTTCCATTATCTTAGCACAGTCATTTTAGGAGGCCCATCCGTGCCTTACAACACAAAGGACAATTTTCCAGTGTATTTTATATATTCCCTATTAAATCTGTCATAAAGTTAATGTTGCACAGCATTGTATCTGCATCCATAAAATGGAGGACAAAATACAGCAAATGGCTTCCTCCAGGCCCTGCCCTTCTTTAAGAGGTTTCCAGTCAATGGCATGAGAGGAACTCAGTCTGGTGTTTGTTTGTTTGGATAATTTCATTTCAGAGCTGGTATTCAGAGAGCAGTACTAGTCTGACCTCTCATAATGAAGAATGGCTTCTTATATTAGCAGTGTTCAGAGAGGACTAGTCCTATCTGAAATATACTCATTTAGTGGAACAACTACGGAAGCAGCATCCCTGGAGAGTATTACAGCCATGAAATAATTATCTGCCTCACCAGGTATGTTTTCCTTAGCAACTATTTATTTCTTTAATGTCTGTAACTGATTTTTACCATCATGTAATGCTTTGAAAGTAAGAAATTATTGTGGCTCCGAATAAATAGAACTAGAAAAGCGAATAGATCATTAAAAAGCAGAGGTATAAATAGAAAGGAACTGGCCCTTTGATATGATTTGGTCTTACAAAAGCCAGTTAATTTGTAGGCCTTAATTTTTTTAAAGATATTACATCTTTAATACCAAAATTGGAAAAAAAGAGAGATGCAATGATTTTATAGTCCTTTTCATATATACACACAAACATGGTTTATATCAAAACATTCTGAAGCTGGTTCTTTATTTCACAACAGAATCTTGATCTATTTAGTAAGCATTCCCTAATGAAGCCAGTACAGATCTTGCTTGATTAAAGAGGGCAAGAAAATAAATTAACTGAGGACAGTGACCCTGGATATTTATCAGGTATCACATTATGTCTTAACACAACTGTTCCCATCAGAGCAATGGACTAGCCACAGAGGCTTGCAGATGCTGGTCTAAGCATTCTTCTTCTCCATGTGGCTGAGGGGTCCCCAGTGAAAGAACATACACTGAGGAAACACATCATTTTAAAAAATCAAAACACTTTTAAAAGTCACTATCTGCTACTTGCAGAACTTTATAACGCCATGTTCTCTGAGTACTTATTTGGATTCCGCATATGATGAAAGATTAATAGCCATGGGTTCCCCTACAGTTGGTAACCCTTCAACTATTTCAATGTAATTATTCCCTACAAAGTAGCACACAATATTAATCAGCAGCAAAGTCTGAAATGGTGGAGTGCCAAGCTCTGAAAAGGAACTTTTTGCTAACTTTTCTTGGTACTTCTGTGTCATAAAATATAAGTATATATTCTGACAGCAGGGTCTGTTTAGGTGGTAGGTAGGCTTATGGCAAAGATAAGTTTGTGCTTGAATCCAAAGGTGTTAAAGGTTCAAGTTGTGTTAGCTAATGAGTGACCTGGTCCCATTGTTACAGACAGTGGAATAATAAATGATAATGGGAGAATCTTAATCAGGCCAGCCCCTGATGCTGTCCTTCTCTCCCCCACTGGCACAAAAGGCACTGAGTATAGAGCATGCTGTGATTTCCTGAGAGAGGAGCAGGTCAGAGGGAAGCTATGAAGGGTGAATAATCAGCTGCTGCTTCACTTTCTCTTCATGTACATCTTTCCAAGAAGGCTTAGCAGACGTAAAGGTCACCCCCAAACTTCCTGTCAGTTCAGCAAGACAAACATTCAAAAGCTTAAACACTCTGACAAGCGAATCCAGTACAAACGCACAGAACCATCGTAAATGAGAATGGAAGAGATCCTGAGAGGCCATTTAATTCATCCCCCATTATTTAAAGAACACCAGGGCTTCAAAGAGAAACCCTCAATATCATACTGAAGTATTAACAGCACTCTGGGGAGCTGTTTCCTAGTGCCTGACAACAGATAATAACTTGTTCTAGGTGAGTTGCATGTTGTCCATAGCTGGACTATGAGCGCAGCTGTCAGGAATAAGTTAGATTGACAGAGTAAAAGTCTATTCTGAAATGAAAGAAAAAAATATTTAGGAAGAAAAACCTACACCAGAGAAGCCTGTATGTTTGGATAATTCCACAAAAACAGTCCCAGTTTAGCAAAGAAAATTAACTGTCTGCTTTACTGGCATCTCTGCAAACTTTCTCCCTGGGAACAAAGAACCAGGACTGGGAGATTCCTTCCTAATGTGACTTCCAGACATACAGCCCCCACCAGTCTTGCTAAACACATACTGCTGTTACAGTATGTCTGCACTTGACAGTCATGTAATTCTTTGACCATTTTTAAACTTCAGGAGAGACGGACTCCATGCTCATCATCATTCCTGCTCCCCTCTTCCCCCCACCCTCCCAATCTCAGTGCCTTGATACCCAGACTGGGAGGCTGTGGCATTAACCACAGCTCTTACCTCTCCAAAAGAAAGGACACAAGAGGCAAACTTTGAGCCAGGACATGGCCAGCAAATACACAGGACCCAAGCAGACACTTCCATGCATGTCATCTATCACAGGTATTGATGGACACATGGAAAGTTTGAGGTCTTGTGAAAAAAAAAGAGTCAGGCAAGAGTTTAGTTTGCGGGCATTAAGAGCACTGCCTAGGGATTACCTGTCAGGACACTTATGAACTCCACATGAGCTAACTTTATAAAAAAAAAAATGTTTCTTTTGCACAAGTCATGATTGGATAGTGACTGAAGAGGAAAACACACAGAACAAAACAATGCAGATTAAAACAGCATTTCTTAATGAAGCCTTGTGGCTGCTGCTTTCCAGTATGTTGAATGCTGATAGTTCAAATACCAGAACATAAGATTTATTTGGATTATAAATAGATGTCGCCCTGTGCGTCAGTATCAGAAGCACTCTGTTGTGTAAACAGAAAACTGTTGGGGGCTTTTTCTACTCTTAAAAATTACTTGAAAGCTCCTGGCCACTCTTTGCTGACAGCCTTTTTCACCTGTTGGAGTTCCGTGTCTCTCTTGTGTATCATCACCTCTACAGCCTACAACAAGAAGCTGTTAAAATGTCTTTTTTCATATGCCCTTTTCTCTGCTCTCTTGGTTGATTTCCAGCTGGCTACACTACTCTGTTAGTTTTTAGCCACCCAGTTTATTGAACTTGTCTTGGTTTTGGCATTGTCCTGATTTCCATTATAATATATTTGCCTCTGGGGAAACACGGTTGCTACTAACTCCAGTGCCTCTTATTTGTTTTGGAAAAAAAAACAAAAAAAAAAAAAAAAAAAAACACCAAAAAAACCCTCTCTATATATATATAAAAACTGCCTAGAACTTTTAAACAAAATTACACTCTCAGACCCCACCGAGGTTCTTTCTATCCTTTGTTATTCCATTTTCTAGGGTGCAAATGTTCAGCTGGTAAGTCTGACCTGCTGATCCTTTACTCTCTGCCCACTGCTCTTTGAAGTGTATTTAGGTGATAACAAGCTGCTAAAGGCACATCACAACATGGGGCTTTACTACACCATGATTATAGAATCATAGAATAGTTAGGGTTGGAAAGGACCTTAAGGTCATCAAGTTCCAACCCCCCTGCCATGGGCAGGGACACCTCGCTCTAAACCATATCACCCAAGGCCTCCTCCAACCTGGCCTTGAACACTGCCAGGGATGAAGCATTCACAACCTCCCTGGACAACCTATTCCAGTGCCTCACCACCCTAACAGGAAAGAATTTCTTCCTTATATCCAATCTAAACTTTCCCTGTTTAAGTTTTAACCTGCTACCCCTTGTCCTGTCACTACAGTCCCTAATGAAGAGTCCCTCCCCAGCATCCCTATATGCCCCCTTCAGATACTGGAAGGCTGCTATGAGGTCTCCACGTAGCCTTCTCTTCTCCAGGCTGAACAGCCCCAACTTTCTCAGCCGATCTTCATACAGGAGGTGCTCCAGTCCCCTGATATCCTCACAGCCCTCCTCTGGACTTGTCCCAACAGTTCCATGTCCTTTTTATGCTGAGGACACCAGAACTGCACACAATACTCCAAGTGAGGTCTCACGAGAGCAGAGTAAAGGGGCAGGATCACCTCCTTCGACCTGTTGGTCACACTCCTTTTGATGCAGCCCAGGATACGGTTGGCTTTCTGGGCTGGAAGCGCACACTGCCGGCTCATGTTCATTTTCTCATCGACCAGCACCCCCAAGTCCTTCTCCACAGGGCTGCTCTGAATCTCTTCTCTGCCCAGCCTGTAGCTGTGTCTGGGATTGCTAGGCAGTAGCAACCTTTTTTCCCAATCTTCTTTCCCAATTAAAACCAGCAGCAGCTGCAAGATGAGGCCCCTTTCTTTATGCTAGGAGTAGTTGTTAGGACCTTATTTGCTAATAAAAACTACAGAATCTGCTTCTCTAACCTCCAGAGAAGGCAAGAAGTCAGGCAGGGGTTGTGCTTCTTGACACATGCTCTACCTTCACAGCGTTACTGCTTGAGCTCATCAGCTGCACCCATTACTCTGTCCTGCATGGTCACCTCAGGTGGCATTTGGCTCTGGGTTAAGATACATTTAGGTGCCTGCATGTGAGCCCAGCATCTAAACTTCTGCATTGGCTGATGAAGATCTAGTTAATGAACTCATCAGTGCCTGAACAGTTTAGCTACCCACCATCCACAGGGCTTGGCTCAGCTGCTTTCACACTGACCTCTAGAGCCGTTTAAGCACCTTGTAGAACTTGAGACCTCTTGCGATGCTGCCAGCTACCACTGAGGACACACATACATCTTGAACTGTACTAGACCACTTAGGAAGCAGAAGTGGACTCAAAAGGACCCACTTAGGACCCAAAGCCCAGTACTGTTTTGAGTGCCACGGGCTCCCAGGTACTATTACACAAGTGTGCAAGTCTCCTGAGCTCCTCGGTTGTATTTGCCAGCCCCAAGCAAGTGCCTCAAATGTAGCCTGAGATGGTGTTAGACACCTAAGTTTAGGCAACTGGATTGAGCACTTTTACTTTTCAACTTTATATTTTTGTCGCCAAGTCTCCTGTTGCTCTGTAGCCTGCTCAAGTAAATACCTGTTTACTGGGAATCAGAATGAGACCAGCAAATGGTCCTGATGGTGATCAAAAGATGTTTAAATAGTAGTGATTTCCACTCTCCACCCATCTACTTTTGGATCTGAGACCTGAAGGGAGAGGTTAAGATTGTGACAGAGGTTCCTGCCTAACTCTGTAAAATACACCATATGCAGCTTTTACTGCCTAGCCATATAGTTGATGTCTCTCCTGTACCACTCCCAAGTTTTGTGACTCCCTTTCAGAAACTGTATTTACACCCCATAACTTATTAAGCAGGAGTAAACAAAAGTTGTGTCTCCCCTCTTCTTTTCCCATTAATCTGGCCATATATTTGAGTATTATTTCCAGAAATAATAAAATCCTTTCTTCTTGTTGTTGTAAGAGTCTTTCCTATATTATGATTTTAGTAGAAGAGCATTTCTTGGTATTGCTCTTCTGAAAAAAAATAGGCTATTTGTGTGAATGTCTGGATATGGATTTTAGGAGTCTATGTTTAGGCTCTTATTTCTGAAAGTCCCAGCCAAAGGGAGAAGGTGTACTAACCTCCTGGTGCACTGCACTCCAGCTCTGTGGCACAATGGCCCCAGTGCAATGGTCCACACATGGCACATATTAGCAAATGCACTATATTTAGCAAAATGTGCCCTACTGCTCCTAAGAGACGACTGACTAAACCTTGATAACAAATTTGGCCTGGCTCCTTTGGGACTTGTAACTTCCCACTGAGCAATAGAGATCATTAAAATGGTTTAATTATAAAATTCCCTTTTGCATAGTGTTATGGTAGATAAGATTGCACGTGTGTGACAGCCTTTCCATTAGGAACTTCAAGTCCCAGGGCATTAGTCATCCAGAGTAAGTGCTCATGTGGAGATGAAACAATGTGGAACCAGTTAGATATTAAATAAACATACATAATTCAATTAAAGAACACATTTGTAGCTTAAAGGTCCCGATGGAATAACAAATTCCTTGTTGCACACCTGTAGGAACAGGAGCTGCTCTTGGGAACAAACTGCCTCAGCATGTGAGAAAAGCTCTGCCAGCACCAAATCTACCTCTTTCCCTTTTCTTCCACAAAGCATTTCTGAGTATCTATGCATAATGTTACCATCCCATTGATGAGAGTGATTCCAGAGGATCTGCATAGCTCTTAGAGGAATATTAATCTGGGAGTAGGAACCTCCTGTTGTCTTTTCCATTGCAGTTTCTTCCCATGTTCTGGTATGTGTAAAGTTTAAATATTATCGGATCTTAGGACAGCATCCCTTTCCAATTTATTTCCATGCCCACAGGACAGCATCTTGCTTTTCTGCAGCCAGCAAAGACACAACAAGACAAGAGACAGACGTTTTCACTAATGAAAATACCAAAGCCAGTAACATAACAATAAAACAGTGAAATACTGGTGAGGGAGAGAAAAGATAGTTACACACACCACATAAACCAGACACAGGAAAGATCCTTATGTTTCAGAAAGGTCAGATTCGTGGATTAGGAGCTCAAAGAAAGAAACACATTACCAAAGGAGAAATTCATTCCTCTTTGGCAGTGTTCTGTAGGACACAATAGGCTATATGCCATGGGAGTATTTTGTGAACTGACTACAGATAATGGTATTCCCCAAGGAGCTAAAACTAGGACTGCCTGACTGGGAACTCAGTGGGATAACACACTTCTCTCTAGTACCTTCCAGCCCCCAAGAGTGAGTCTGGCTTACCACAACATTTATAAACAGGAATCAGGCCATTTCCTTTTTGTGTGTGTGTGTGTGAGGACGTCTCTTTCTGAGAAAATAGATACCAACATGCTTTAGCTTCGCGTGTGTTTCAGGGAAGCCTGTGATCAGTTAGTCTGATAGAAAACCTGTAAATAATAAGAGCAACTCTTGAGAAATATTGAGACAAGACCAAAATGTATCACATTCCGTGTGTGCTGCCCACCGACTTCGAAGACTTGAATATTCACATTCAGTAAAAGTACAGTGTAACCAAGGGATTCTCCTCAGGTTGCACTTCTGGACAGACCATTATTTTTACAGCAGAATTGACCAAGTACTGAAAAAATAAGTGGAAAGTCTCAGACAAGTCAGACCAGAGGAAGGTTCTGTTATTGTTAAAAGGAACTTGTTAAAAAAAATAATTGCACAAGCATGCACATGAAAAGATACGTTCGTTTTGACTTACTCATCCCCTGACTACCTTATTTAGGGTCAAGTCAGGTTGATCAGATTGATTTTCTCTTTGGAAGTCTGATTCACCCTAGTAGCTGTGAAGGTCAGCCTCCAGCATTTTGATGCATAACGGGATTGGGAAACCCTGGGTGATTAAGGAAGGGCTGCTTAATATGAAAGATGCAAAAACGCCCTATCATCACCCTTCCACATAGCTCAGAGCACTGACACAAAGGTGAGAGAAGTGGTGTTTTTACTCTGAGATCTCAAAAAAGAAAAAAAGGAAAGTACAGATAACGTTGTACTCTTTGAGACCTCTCTGGTGTATTCTTTTTACTTCTGAGGGTTTCTGAACTTTTCTCATGGTGTCTTTTAGGAAGCCCGTGCTATGATACTGTTAGTCCTCAGAGTTTTAATGGGGAAATGCTTATGAGCATCAGGCTAATTGGACTTACACTTACATTCAGCAGCCAAGAAAACGTAGCCCAGGGCACAGTTCTAAGAGCAGATAGTTCTGAGCTGCCTTCCAAAGGAACAAAGTAAACCATAGTCTGTACATCTGGAGTCTCAGAAAGGATTGTGTAACCTAGAACTGCAATACTGAGGATTTAATCTTTATCTGTTTAATCTGATTATTGTTTGAATAGTTATTTCTCTTACAGTAGCAAAACCAAGTTGCTGGGTTTTTTCCATTCTGCCAAAGCTGGCACATTACTAACCTTTGTTAACCTTCAAGCCATATAACTTTAAAAGCTTAAATAATGCAAAATAGGAGGGCTAGGGAAATGGAAGAGATGGAGTACTCATTGCCTATCTAGCAGAAAATTCCCCCTATGTTTTTGGGGTGACAATTAAAACAACCCAGATAAGGAAGCCAGGACAGCATTCCTGTGTCCTCAGCTCCAGGAGGTTTTCCTATTCTTTAAAGCAAAATATAAAGAAAACTCATAGCTATCATTTCTAATAAAAGTAACTGAAAAATAAATTTTACATGAATCTGAAAATAAAGTTTAC